CCCCCCCCCCCCCCCCATCAATTTTTTTTTCATAAAAAAGAACGAGACTTTTACTGAGAGTTTCAAAGTGGGCCGGATTTTGCGTGGAATATTGTCCTGGTTCTCTCCCGTCCCATCATTTATAAGAAGACCTTTGGAAGAAATAGGATACTTGATCGGGGTTTGTTTAGAATATTTTTTTTTTGATTTTTTTAGAAGATTTAGAAGATTCAGAAGACCTTTGGAATATCGTTGTCACTAATTTTTTACCTTTTTTTCATGAGTTCTTTTGTCGAATCTGGGCGGAGGCTATTTCTGCTGACAGCTTTCCTGGCTCTGAATCCGGCAACTGCTCTTATATGCTCGATTCTGAGCTCGCCTTTCTGGATTACATGGTTTTGGAGTTTCTAGAGTTTTTTGGGGTTTTTTAGAGTCAGTGGAATTTTTTGAAAATCTTTTTTTTCCATAATTTCAGGTACCAATGCCACTGGAGCCAGTTCCATTAGTTGACATTTTGCTGTATGGTGTGCTTCAAGATCGCATAACAGCTCATCGCGCTAAGCCACCCGTTTTCGAGCTTCTTCTGGCTGCTTTTATAGGCGTTTATCTGTCAGTTTTCTATTTTTTCACTCTTAATTTTCACTCAACCCTTGAAACAGCACTGGCAAAGCTGAAAAAGCTGTGAGATTATCTCATCATAGGTATATAATGATGAGATTGATCTCAAGCAAGATCAAGTGAATTTGCATGTGAGACGCGATCGCCCTCGTTTTGGTTTTCGAAATGTCAAAGTTACTTGTAAAGCAGAAATCTGCGAAGTGTAATGAGGAGGGGCGGGGGACCAGGAGGGAGGGGACGAAAGGGGAGGGGGATCAACATGGATAGCAGAAAGCCCAGCGCTTAAATGTGTCAGTACTACGGGGTTAGAATTCTGAAATCTTAGGGTGATGTTCCCCATCCAAGTAGGTGTTGGCGCACTGAAACCCATACCCCAGGTAAGCGTGGTAGCCGCGTACGGGCCCGCCAAATTTTTTTTTCGGTGAATTCATAACTCGGGAATTTGAGAAGCTAGAACGCTCAAATCGTAAGGTGATGTTCCCCTTGCAAGTCTGTGTTGATGCACTGAAACCCATCCCCTAGGAAAGCGTAATAGCCGCGTACGGGTCCGCCAAAATTTTTTTCGGTGAGTTCATAACTCGCGAATTTGAGAAACTAAAACGCTGAAATATTAGGGTACTGTTCCCCATCCAAATAGGTGTTGATGCACTGATGCCCACTCCCAGGTTATGGCCTGCCAAAGTTTTCTTCGAGGAGTTCATAACTCGGGAATTTGAGAAGCTAGAGCGCTCAAATCCTAAGGTAATGTTCCCCATGCAAATACGAATTCTGTTTCTGCTTGATATTGATACATAGCACTTCTATCATACTACGCAGTTGATGTGACCAAAATTGACATAGTTCGTGATAAGATTTCGTCCAATGGTTTGGTGGTTCCGATTTTTTCCCTGCTTGCTTTTTCCGCATTGAATTATTAGAAATTTCGGACTTCGTCTGAGCTCCTATATGAGCGAGCCTCATGTACACCTCCTCGAATAAGGGTCATCGATAGTAAGACGTGCCAGAAGTCGAAGTGCTTGTATACAATGAATCCCAAATGGAAAAAGCCTGTGTACGATGTATAAACAGCTGTGCTTTTACAATAGCTGCTTGGAGTTTTAAGAGAAAATCCTTCAAGCGAAGTTTCCGATAAGTAAAGTGCATAGATTTTCCAGGAGGTGCACTACTATTATCACTTAACTGTGGCATGAGGTTGATTTGATGGCCAGCATGGGTATTGGTCGAATGCGCCGAGCACAGCAGTGGCTTCTGTTCACTCGTCAGTTTCATCTTGTGGATGCAACCGGACAGGTTCTTCCTTTACCAGTAAATGATGTTTAATATGTAAATTTGATAATAATACGTATTTTGACACTTTTTATCGCCGCGTTCCATTTTTGCCCCCGATGCAACAGGCACCTTCTCCATTTTTATGCATTTTTGCATAT